GGAGAAGTTTAAATGCTGAAACAGTTTCTCAGTTGATGGAAAATGTACAAAATATAAGACATGATGTTATTGTTACTACTAATTTTGTGATAACCTCACAACCATCACCAGAAGTGCCTCAGCTGAGAACGAGAATGTGGCACAGTTGCTCTATCACTGCTACTCAGCAGGGGATGTTTTAGTAGGCTGAGCATTTGCACTTGCCCACCTGAAATGACACTGATCTTCACTGGGACCTCAGGAGGGTACTTTGCTAGAACCTTGGCTTTTCTTTCCATCTAGACTTCTTATCTCCCAGTGAAGGTGAGAGATTGAAGGTAACTCTGAAATGCTCCAATTCCTTGGTAGGCTGAGCCCTGAAATGTGACTTTATTTTTAAGAGCTAGAGGGGAAAAAAGTATTGGTGCCTCTAGAATGAGTATTTCCCGCTAGCAATTTTGTTCAAAGGTAGAGAAAATCTCAGTGTGTCTCAAGAATAGACAGCTGTCCAACAATGCAGAAACTCCTGGAAAGGTCCACATATATGTGGTTATCTAATTTACGCCAAAAGTAACAGTGCACTACAATGGGGAAAAAATACATTTTCTTTCTTCTTTTTGGGAGGGGCTCAAAGTACATGTTTTTTTGTAAATTTAATTTAATTTTAATTGTTGTTCAAGTACAGTTTCCTGCCTTTTACTCCCATCCAAGCCCACCCCCCAGTCCTCCCCACCTTTCTCTGGTCTCCACCCCCACTTGTTTTTGTGAAAGATGCATTTTGCATTTTCAGTCAGTGGCGTTGAGTTAATCTGATATCTACATGAGAAAAGAAAACATCTTGACTTTGACTTCACATCATGCACAAAATCAGTTCTCTGTGAATTCAGATCAAAATATGAAAGATAAAATAACTTTTAACTTTTAGTATAAACATAGAATAACTTCCTCATGATCTTGGAGTAGGCAATGATTTCTTACATGGAACACAAAAAGAGATAAAGATAAATATAAAAAGTGTTAAATTGAGTTTTATTAATATTAAGAACTTCTGTTTATCAAAAAACACCTATAAGAGAATAGAAACACAATGTACAGAGTGGGATAATATATTTGTGTTCTCTCTCCCTTGCCCCATCTCTATATAACTATATATAATATAGAGTATGTAGTATAATATATAAAGAACTCTGCCCTGGCTGGTGTAGCTCAGTGGATTGAGTAGAGGCCTGCAAACCAAAGGATCACGGTTCAATTCCCAGTCAGGGCACATGCCTGGGTTGCAAGCCAGTTCCCAGCAGGGGACCCACGAGAGGCGACCATACATTGATATTTCTCTCCTTCTCTCCTTCCCTTCCCCTCTAAAGATAAAAAAATTTAAAAAAATTTTTTTAAAGAATTCTAACAAATAGGAAAACAATCGAAAAAAGGTAAAAGATGTGAACACTTCCTGAAACAGAATGTAAATTGGCCAATACTGACACTAAGAGAAATTCAACTTAATTAATCACTGGGGAAACATTAAAATGCAGTGCAAAACTACTAACCCTTCCACCAGAATGTCTAAAACGAAACAAGTGGAAAGTACCAAGTATTGCTGCTAATATACTGGAACTGAAGTTCTCATCATTGCTGATGGGAGTGTAAAATGTTAGAACCACATTGGAAAACTATTTGGCATTATTTACTAAAATTAAACATATGTATTTTCCATAACCTAACAATTCCATTCTTAAATATACAAGGTCTGCCTGGAAAAAGTCCAGCCATTGTTAATATAACAAGAACAATTTGCACAACACCGATGTGACCTGGTAGCCAAGGAGAGAGGACTAGAATGCACATGTGTGACAATGGCGACTTCACTGTACTAGTCAGCAGGGGCTGTAGACACTGCTGAGTGAGCATGTGTGCTGCGCATCCATCACATTCAAAATGACTGACTGAGTAGAATGAGAAATCTGCATCAAATTTTGTATTAAGCTTAAATATTCCTCCATGGAAACTATTCAAATGATACAGAAGGTTTTCCGGGACAATGCAACAAGTGCAGCATGAATAAAAGTGTGGCACAAACACTTCAAAAATGGTCAAGAATCTGTTGAAAGTATCCACGTTCTGTTCTGCAACAAGCAGAACACCTGAGAATGTTGAATGTGTGTGGGCTGAAATCAACAAAGATCGGCAACTGACTGTGGGAGAACTAGACGCTGATTTGGGGCCTCCAAAAACTACTGCGCCCAACAACTACATGCAAAAAAATGAAACTCGAGCACCAACTTACACCATATACAAAAATAAATTCAAGGTGGATAAAAGATTTAAATATAAGTCATGACACCATTAAAGTCCTAGAGGAGAACAGAGGCAGGAAAATCTCAGATATTCCACACAGCAATATTTTCACTGATATGTCCCCTAGAGCAAGGGACATAAAGGAAAGAATAAACTAATAGGGTCTCATAAAAATAAAAAGCTTCTGCATGGTTAAAGAAAACAGCATTAAAATGCAAAGGGAAGCAACTATATGGGAAAACATATTTGCCAGTGACACCTCAGACAAGGGTTTGATCTCAAAAATATATAAAGAACTCACACAACTCCACTCTAAGAAGTAAAGCAACCCAATTAAAAAATGGGCAAAGGACCTGAACAGACACTTCTCCAAGGAGGACATACAGAGGATCCAGAGAAACATGAAAAGATGCTCAGTATCTCTAGCTATCAGAGAGATGCAAATTGAAACCACAATAAGATACCGCCTCACACCATTGAGAATGGCCATCATAAACAAAGCAATTAACAACAAGTGTTAGAGAGGTTGTGGAGAAAAGGGGACCCTAGTGCACTGTTGGTGGGATTGCAGACTGGTACAACCACTATGAAAAACAGTATGGAATTTTCTCAGAAAACTAAAAATGGATCTGCCTTTTGACCCAGCAATTCCACTGCTTGGATTATATCCTAAGAACCCTAAAACACCAATCCAAAAGAACCTATGCACCCCAATATTCATAGAAGCACAATTTATAATGGCCAAGTGCTGGAAGCAATCTAAATGCCCATCAGTAAATGAATGGGTCAAAAAACTATGGTACATTTACACAATGGAATTCTATGCAGTGGAAAGAAAGAAGGAGCTCCTATCCTTTGCAATGGCATGGATGGAACTGGAAAGCATTATACTGAGTGAAATAAGCCAGGTGGTAAAAGACAAATACCATATGATCTCACCTTTAACAGGAACCTAAACAAAACAAACAAACAAGCAAAATATAACCAAAGACACTGAAATTGAGAACAGGCTGACAGTGACCAGAGGGGAGAGGAGAGGGGGTTATAAGGGAAAAGGGTGAAGGTTTTGCAGGAACAACTATAAATGACACATGGACAACAACAAGGGGGGTGGTGGAAACAGGGGAGGGACATGGGGAGAGCTGAGGGAGGGGAGGGGAGGGGGAAAAAGCAGAAAACTGTACTTAAACAACACAAAAAATGTTTAAGAAATAAAATAAAATAAAACTACTGTGTCCAAGGTTTTGCAGGATCTTGGCATGAAACGTGGCAAAATTTGTTCCATGGCTTCTGCTACCAGAGCAGAAAGAACATCATGCTGCAGTTGTTAAAGACTTGATTCAGATTGCTACCAGCAAACCAGATTTCTTCAGGAAGGTCATAACCAGGGATGAATGGTGGGTCAACTGCTATGATCGAGAAATGAAAGCTCACTCATCCTAGTGGAAGTCGACTGGCTCTCCTGGCCCAAAGAAAGCACAGCAAAGTCGCAACAGAATCAAGACTGTTAACTGTGTTTCTTGATTGGGAAGGTGTTGTCCAATGAGCTGTTAATTAATAAGAAGTACTACCTCAATGTTCTTCTTTGGTTGAGAGAGGCAATATGATGAAAACAGCCACAGCTATGGAACACTGGTGATTGGCAGCTTCCTCACTACAATACACCCACTCACGTATCATGTCCCCTGCAGAGATTTTTTGGTAAAACATCACCCAGGTGACTCAGCCCCCCTACAGCCCAGACGTGGCGTCCTGTGACTTCTGGCTTTTCCCCAAACTAAAATCACCTTTGAAAGGGAAGAGATTTCAGACTGTTGATGAGATTCAGAAAAATATGACAGGGCAGCCTATGGCGACTGGGAGAACTGTGAAAGGTCACAAGGTGCCTACCTTGAAGGGGACTGAGGCATCATTGTCCTGTGTACAACGTTTCTTGTGTGTTGTGTCTTCTTCAATAAATGTCTATTTTTCATATTACATGGCCAGATACTATCTGGACAGATGTTTGTATGCCCAAAAGAAATGCCTAAGAATATCACTTGCTAAAAAGTTACTACACACACATGAAAAAAATGCATACAATTTTTAACCAAAAAACACATGCAGTGATATTTATGACAGCACTATTTGTAATAATCAGGACCTAGAAATTCCGGGAAACTAATGGGCATCAGCTGTAGGATGACTAGACAAACTGTGGTTTATTCACACAATGGGATGTTGTAAAACAGGAAGAAAAATGATCTACAACCACACACAAAATTATGCATGAATTTCACACATATTGAGCAAAAGAGGCCAAACACATAGTGTATGATTCCACTTATATGAAGTACATACACTAACCTATTCTGTCTGAAGTCAGCAATAGTGGTTACTGTTGGTGGAGAGTAGTAACAAGGAAGTGTCCCAGTAGGTACCTCTGGGTTTCTTTAGCTGGTTCAGCTTGCACACGTATGCTCAGTTTGTGAAAATGTATTTAGTGTATAATACATTTATGATGTGTGCTTTTCTATGTGTATATATACCATCATACCATATATATAATTTTCATATTTTAACCATAATTATAGTTTAAAGCCCAGCATACCTTGAAAAAACCTCAGTGAGAGCTGTATCTCTCTCCTCTTTGCATGAATCTTGTAACTAACCCTTAGCTCATTATTCAAGCTGTAATTTTTAAATTTTTAGTTTTAAACTCTGTTTCTTTTTCTCTTTCTTTTCTTCAGGGCCCTCCTGGTCCAAAAGGTGATAAGGTAAGAAAATGAATAGCAGAAACAAATTAAATTAGTGGAAATCCATATTGACATGACCTAAACTATGATCTTTTTAATGAGCATCATACACTGACTTAGCGCTTAAACTACCTATTTTCTCGTTTTTTTCTACTCCACAGGGAGAACAAGGTGATCAGGGACCCCGGGTAAGTTGAACTCTTCCAGTCCAGAGCAGGAAATTAGTTTTCAGCTCCAAACTTACTGAATGAAAGTAGCCCTGGCTGCGTAACTGCCTTTGTATCAGTTTAGTGATGGCCAGCAAAAATACTGTTCCACTTGTAAGTGAAATAGCCTTGAGAATAACTAATGTGTGTATTCTGTTGCATCATCTTTACTTGGTAACTATAGACAGAACACTTTACAGTAATTAGTCCTACTGATTAAGGGCCAGCATTGCTACTAAAAGTGAACAACACCACCTTTCCAGAGACTGTTGGGTCCTTTATCATTGCATGCAGTGATTAGCAACATAAAAGCTATGTGGATTCCTATTGAGTCCACATAGCTTTTTCTGCAGTTAAACTTTATGTGCTGTTGCATAAATAGGATATATTATAGATGAAAATATTAATGCATTTGATATTTTTATTCTTCATCATGTTTGAATAATTGCTTATTTGAATATCTTATTTTTAATAGATTTTAAAGCAGATAAAAGGTGTCATATAATTTAGCATTCCAGGGAGGAGGGTCATCCTTTTATTCTTCTCAAATGTGGCTCCTTTAACTGTTAAGCACAATGGTGAATGCGTTGTTGTTACCTTGGTAGTGCCAAGTCCTCTGCTCCACATCTGTGCCTTATTACCCAAATGTTCAGACATACTGTTCCAATGATGTAGTGGCTCCACTCAGACATACCTCTCAATTTTCTCATGTCACTAAGCACAAAAGCGAGTATTTGGTTGAAGAGAGTCATTTTTTACAGCGGAAAAGCACATTTAAAACTTACAGGTTGAAAACACAATTATGTAGGATTTTTTATCATTGTGCATAAATATTGAATTCATGTCTACCACAGTAGAGGGCTTATTGCAAAAGATGTAGTCAATGCAAATTTGAAAAGTCTGTAGTCTTATCTGCTCATGCTTATTAAACTAGGTAAAAGTTATGCTGTGATTTACTTTCCTTGCTATTCTTCAGCCATTCTGCATAGAGAAATGATTATGCCTCGGAGCATTTTGTTTCTCATGGCAGTTATTCTAGTTGATGACTAGCTTCAAGGTAAAAGCTCACTTTATGGTCAAGGAAATTAGACATTATGATATATGTCATGGATGTGAATGGAATAAAATTCTCATAACCTTAAATGATGAGCGTATAGCCACTTGCTCGGTACGTGGTGATTATTTCACATGGCGTGTCTCCATGTATTGAGTATCATTTCTTTCCACACGCAATATCAAAATCACTCAACTTGCCCTTTCCAGGTAAGAGGGAGACTGTTTCCATTCTGAGAAATCTTCTTTTGGCGAAGGAAGTGGAGGGGTGGGCCACAGCTTAGCTGTCATCAGTGTGCATGCAGTCCTAGTTTTCAAAAAGGTGTGTTGGCTTTCATCGTTCCAAAAAGTGATGATTGATTATAAAGCTAGGCCAAATTTTCAGGATGAAACCTGAAACCATGTGAAATTCACCTGGTTTCATGTTGCAGTACAAACTTAGACTTGGACCAGGTTTCTTGGAAGTTTGGCCAAAGTTCATGAACTACTTTGACGAACCCAGACTGCCTTTTCTACAGATTTCAGCCAGTTTTCACACTGACTCAGGCCAAGTTTCACACGATTCAGGGGCCATTCAACATTTCAGGTGCAAAGTGGCAAAAAAATGATCCCATTTTTCCCCTGGATTTTTCTTTGTATTAAAGGAGTTTAGATTGAATGAACAATACAGAATAAATCTTTATGGATAAAGATCTTAATGTCCTGGGACATATATGAGAGAGAGAGAATGAAAACCTACTGACTTGCCTATCTTTTCTCAGATTCTTAATTTAGAGACTACGCAGGTCATATGCAGTGCTCTTAGATTTTTATAAATAGTCCTTTCAGGTAGTATTAGCTACTTATTAGGACATTTATCATATCAGGATAATAAGTGAATGTTTTATATTTCCAGATAAATGAAAGTAAGCTAGAACTGGAAAAGTCTTCAATATAATGAAAATTAATTTTACCCACATCTTCTATAGGCACACTGTTCCAGATGATGGGGACATAGACTCTCTTTTCCTAAAAAGTAAATCTTTGTATTTGAATACCCTGACCCCTTTCATGCTATCAAAGACTTGAATTCTACTTTTTACCATTTGTTTCATTAGTTTAACAACATGACCCTCCATCATTTCAGTTCTTTGCTGGCTGACATTCCATTATGGGATCTATACTGTTCCCTTGAATATGAAGTTCTTTCATTTTCTCCTTGGCTCCCCAAGTGTCAGACAGGAATATATTAAGGTATAATATGTGAGTAAAAGCAGGAAAAAGATAATATAAAAATTAAGAAGTTGAAAGTATCTTGAATTCTTGGACATATATTTAGCAATGTATATTGAGCATCTACTAAGTTCAAGGTACCATGCTTAATACTATAGACACTGTAAATATGTCAGCTTCTTTCTCCTGCTACCACTTCATTCAACCTACTATCATCTCCTGTTCTTGATTACCATGGCTTTAAGCAAGAGTCCAATTAATCTTGCTTCCGAACTTAAGCCTGTATAATCCTTTTTCTACACAGCAGCCAGAAATACCGTGTTACATTGTAAATTAGATGAGATTACTCCTTGTTTTAAACCTTAGCATGAAATTTAAACTACTTGCGAAATCACAGACCTTCAAGGTTTAGTCTTTGCCAACCTGTGTAACCTCATCTTAGCTAGTCCCCCGCTCCACACACTGTACTCCAACCACACTGTCCTCCTTATGTTCTTCATACACACCACACTAACTCCTAACATGATGATGATTTTCCATTTGCTCTCTTCTGGCCTTCCTGTGATTGGGTTTTTCTTATCATTGAGATTTCATTTCAAATGCCTCCTCTGAGAGAACTTCTCTAACTATCCAATCTAAATCTGAGGTTATCCTATTTGCTTATTTATCTATTTGCTTGTTATCTATAAAAGATGCTCTTCCTGGAAACATAAACTCCAGGTACCTGGTCTGTCTTGTTCATACCACCATCACCTAGAACAATAAGGACTTGATAAATATTTATTGAATGTTAGAATGAAATATTATTATATCGTTATTACTCCCAAGATCTGATCATCTCATGAATGCCTGAATGAGAAAACTATGTGCTTGTACATTATATGCCTTAAATAGCTGTGCTAAGAGATGCTATAAAAGTGAGCATTCTTCCATTTTAAATAATAACTGGAGACTGTGGGAGAATTATCATTTGAGCTAGGACTTCATAAATGGGTTATCTTTAAAAGATAAGATTAAGAGCTAGACATTGCACATTCCCAGAACAAAAACAATATTACTCATGTAGGAAATGATAGGATTAATGTAAGAAATAATAATATTTCCATTTGCCAAGGAAATAGGTTAAATATTAAAAATTATATCATAAAAGGCTAAAATTTTTATTAAAGTTGTATTAAGGAGCATTTGACTGTCTAGTGTGGTAGGTAATAGGAAGCCATTGAAGATTTTTTATTACATCATTTGATATATATTACCACCAGACTATTGGGTGTTATTACCAAATGTTCTTTTATGAAAATCTTTTTGGTTATCAGTGTAAGGAATGTCCAAACCTGTAGAGAATTTTTGTAAGAGTTTATTTGAGTCAAACTGACATGACCAGAAGCAAGATCTCAAATGCTCCACAGAATAACAGCTTTTATATATTCATTTGGAATTAAGGATGGAACATTAGGAAGATTATATGAAGGTAGGAGAAAGCAAGGATAGGGAAATGTGTATGGTTGGATTACAAGACAGTTAACAAGATTTATGTGCTCCCTTGAGTGTGGTTACACCCCCAAGGGAGAAGATTACTCTGACATTTCAAAGGTTTGTTCACCCAGATGCCCAAGAACAATGGACAGTACTTGCTTCAAGAAAAAAAAAAAAAAAAAAAACCTTTCATAGGCCTGAGGTGTGACTATCCACCATGTCCTGTCCAGTTAGGAATTTATGATCAGATTGCCCTGTGAAATTACTTTCGGTCAGTGGACTTGGCAGGTTTATTATAGAACCTTTTTTCCCCACATGTTGATAGTGTCCAGTACAAAAAGGAACTGGAAGAGACTGAAAGCAGAGAGAACAAGTAGATTGGGAAACTATGTCAGTCATCAGGACAAGGTCATAAGAATCTGAACTATAAGATAATGTCCAGCCCTCAGTGGAAAAATGAGCAAAAAAAAAAAGGCTGGCTCAGTCTGGAACATCAAGAGTCATTGGATGTAAGGGGCTATACTGAGCAGAAAGTAGAGTGTCAGAAGCTCAGAAGTGGGGAAGTGGGCTAAGTTGGTGCTACAGAATAAATTCCAAAGGAATCACCAAAATATTGGAGAAAGTACCAAATTTTCTATGGAAGTTAGGATGATTTTATTTTTCTCACATAGTGGGAGATTCAGAAAAGGCAGTTGATGGTGTTGTTTATGTAATTCACTGATATTACTGTGGAAGTCTCTGTGAATTTGTTGGTGTCTCAGTCATGATTGCAAGAAGGCCACTGTAAGTCCAGCCATCACATCTACATCTATCTCAGCAGAGAAGAGAAAGGGAAAAGGGTCTATATCAAGAACACAAATTTTTTCCACTAGTTTTATAGTACACTGCTGCTCATGTCTCATTAACCAGACCATATCATATAGTTAGGTCAAAGCTGGAAGTGAACCAAGGAGAATGGGGTTGAAAAGGAAAGTTCTGAGGCTTCCAGTCAACATGGCAGTGTAGGCAGACATGGCTTGCCTCTTCACATAACCACATCAAAATTACAGCTAAAATATAGAACAGCCATCACTCAGAACTGTCAGAAATTGAGTGGAATGGAAATTACACAACTACATTCAACTAAAGAAACCACATCCATCTAGACTGGTAGGGAGGGGGTGCAAAAGTGGAACAGGCTGGTCTCTCAGCCATGTGTGGTGGATAAAAATTGGGGGGAGATATCTTGGGAGTGAGGAGTC